GTGTGACCAGGGTCAGGGCTCAGCGTGTGACCAGGGTCAGGGCCCAGCGTGTGACCAGGGTCAGGGCTCAGAGTGTGACCAGGGTCAGGGCTCAGTGTGTGAGCAGGGTCAGGACCCAGCGTGTGACCAGGGTCAGGGCTCAGAGTGTGACCAGGGTCAGGGCTCAGTGTGTGAGCAGGGTCAGGACCCAGCGTGTGACCAGGGTCAGGGCTCAGAGTGTGACCAGGGTCAGGGCTCAGTGTGTGAGCAGGGTCAGGACCCAGCGTGTGACCAGGGTCAGGGCTCAGGGTGTGACCAGGCTCAGGGCTCAGGGTGTGACCAGAGTCAGGGGTCAGAGTGTGACCAGGGTCAGGGCTCAGAGTGTGACCAGGATTTGGGCTCAGGGCTTAGTGTGAGACCAGGGTCAGGGGTCAGTCTGTGATGAGGGTCAAGGGTCAGTGTGAGACTAGGGCTCTAGGCTTTGACCTGGGTTGGTGGCAGCACCCTCTGCTGCAGGCACAGGGGACCCAGGCGCCCCATGGCCTCCGAGCCCTGCGCCTGGCCTGCTTCTGACTCTCAGCGGTGCGGGGTCCGGCCTTCGCTGTGCCCAGTGTCCCTGTCGCATGAGCCGGTCCAGCAGCTGATGCCTCACCGTCCCCAAAATAGCTGCCGGGAGCAGGTGGGGTGGAGCCGCCCCCTGAGGCCGGTGGAGGGGACACCTGCCCCCCCACCCCCCGGGGTATAAATATCCCTGGGCTGGGTGTGAACTGCCTTGACCTTTCCCCGGGCTTCCCCGCTGGGGTGCGGGCCCAGCTCCTTCTGCCGCCCTCCCAGCCCGCGCCCATTGCGCCCACTGTGCCCGCTGCACCCACCTCGGGTGCCCTGCTCCCGGAGGTCTGCCCCTTCCAGACTCGCGGTCTCAGTATGGGGTCTGGGTGTGCCCCTTGATGGGCCCATTCATGCCCCCGGCTGGGAGGGCTGCCCAGAGAGGGGTCATGTGGGGGCCCATGTGTGGCTGGGGGTGTCCCGTCCCTGTTGGGGACCCAGGAGGTTTGTCTGGTCTTCCTGGGCCTTGTGCCGGATAGGAGGAAGGATAGGAGGAAGCGACAGGCGGGAGGCTGCGCACCGTGAGCCTGGGCAGGACGCCTCCTGCTGGCGGCCAGGGCGCAGTGGCCCAGGGCACCAGGAGAGACTTGCCCCCAGCAGTCACGAAGCCTAAAAGGCCACTGGGGTTCACGTTGCACGTGGGCCTTTCTGTCTTGCTGAAGGGGGTGCTGGGGGTGTGGGGGGGGCAGGCATGGCCCTCCCCTGGGGCTCTGGCCTCTGGTGGTGGTGGTGGGGGTTCCACCCCGGAGCCCAGCAGCCCCGCCCAGCTCAGCCCTGCCTCCTCCGTCCCCCCGCCCCCCAGGACCTGAAGAAGTACGGGGCCACCACCGTGGTGCGCGTGTGCGAGGTGACCTACGACAAGGCCCTGCTGGAGAAGGACGGCATCACCGTGGTGGTGAGGCTCGCGGGGTGCTGCTGCCCCGGCAGTGGGGGGCCTCC